CACACACACACACACACACACACACACACACACACACACACACACACACACACACACCCTCTCTCCTTTTCTCTCTGCTACCTTCAGCACTTCTCTTTCATTGTTTCATTGATCGCTCAGGTTTAGCTGACATCATTGTTCCATCTCTTTCTTTTTATTTCTTTCATTGTGCATCAAATCATTATATTCTTGTTTGTGTTTTGCCCACCAAAAGAATTTGAAAGGAAATTATAATCCAGCACAACAAAACACAAGAGGAGAAGTCTAACTGCAGGATGCTTCCAGTTACCAGAACCATTTCCAATGTAACCTAATAAAAATATGAATAACAGATGCATCTATAAACTGGACAGAGAGGGCGTCTTTGGAGTGTCACACGTTAACCAGCTGCTGCTTCCCAATTTGCAAAAGAAACAAAAAAAAGAACATCTATGTATTTTTTCTGTTTTTCACCAATAAAATGATTGAAATAATTATTTTGCCACCCTGACCACCCGATGCCTTGTTTACCTCTTGACCACTTGCAGCAGGGGTACTCTTAGATTGCTCCTTTTGGTCCCACGGTCCTTCTTGTGGACTCAGTGTCTTCAATGTCAAACTGACACAACTTTCAGAATTATGGTATTATGAGAAATACCAGTTTTCACTGAAAGAGTCAGTGTCAACACTTTGACAGAGCTATGCTAGGCAGCCTAGACCTCATGAGGACATCAGAGGGTGAGATGGAGCTGGAGGACTATGCATCTACTGCCTAATCTCCAAAGGTATGCATGATGTCATCACACATAAGAAGCTAACCATCTACCCAAACCAGAAACCCTGGCTGAGGTCAGCTCTCTGCTGAAAGATAGGGAAGCTTCATTCGGGTGATGCACTGGCCTCGGCCAACTGGAATGCAATCTGCATTGGAGATTTTGTTGCATCTTTGTGAGCTGCATGGATACTCAGAGAGTACATGAGTTACTATATGCACCATGTGTCAGCAGCAGTGTTGGGTAACGCGTTACTGTAATTAAATTACTTTTCCACTGAAAAAGTAGAGTAACTAATTACTGTTCATTTTTAGGTATTTTAATTACAGTTACTTACATTACATTGTAAAATAATTAAACTCGCTGAATATCATTATTTAATTTCATTAATTTATCTTCTAAACGTAGAAGTAAACTCTGCCGCTTTAACATCGTTGCAGTGCAGGTGCATTTCTGAAACAAGCAGACAAGAATATTAAAGTAATATGTAAGCTATGTCCTGGGGAGAAAAAACTATTGCTATTAATAGCACGAGTAATCTACTGAAGCGCCTGACACAGAGCATAGACGAACACTTCTGAGCGATACTTGTTCATCATCCATGGATAACACTGTGGCAACTCCCGTTAAGCAGCAAAACCTGGTTTTACTTCAGCAGCACAGAAAGCGTCTGAAGGTGAGCTTAAAAAATGACTGCAGGCTACATTGTGGAAGAGATGCTACCGCTGCGTACTGAGTCTCTCTCTTTAAAAAAAATTATTTATTATTTAAAGAGTTTAATTTCTATTGTTCTCCCACTCAAGGTTTATAGGAATTTGAAGAAGTATTTAGTTAAATTACTTATTTAGTAATTAAGTTACTTTTCTGACACAGTAATTAGATAAGTATTTTAAATACAATATTGAGTAAGTAATATGTAATTAGGAATTAATTACTTTTTTAAAGTAACTTACCCAACACTGGTCAGCAGTTTGAGAGACATCTTCACTGTTGTGTAAGATTGGGTGATTTCTGTTTTTTATTTATGTTTGTATCTTTTTTTCTAAATTTCTAATCTACACATAAGACTACAAGTTTTGAACTTCGTATATTATCAGTTTGGAGACGCCAAAGCTTAAGTTTATAATTACTTATGGAAATGTCATCCATGTCCACATTCTTCATATGAAAAAATACATCATGGGGGAAAAAAGAAAAGACGGTTCAAGTGAGGATAATGTTATTTAGGATGAAGCTTATGTGTATGCATGTAAAACATTTAGTCACTGTCTGTTTCCCAAGTGTCTGTTGGCTAATCAAAACTTGCTTCCACTTTCCCATGCTCGCTGTGACATGACTGGTCTAGTCCGGTCATCTTCTTCTCTTCTCCATGTGCTCGTCTAACATTCTCCATCACAGATGCTTTTGTGCCTCCTCCCCATCTCCGCCATGTTACTCAGGGCTCCTGCTGTTGTTAGAAAGAATGTTTAATTCCTTCTAATGATCTCTCCTTATTGAACTGATAACAGCTCTTTACATTAAGTTGAATATAAATTTCCAAATTAATGTTAATCTGTCTAATGCTTGTGATACAGTTTAATGTAGTTTCGTTTTTAGCAGCATCCTCTTGTTCAGTGTGGTGCAGGCACTCGGGATTTTTTGTGTGTGACTTTTTTGCCCTGCTGACCTGCAGAAATGGATCTTGTTAGTGGTCTGGAGCTTTTGTTTTACAAATATAACACTGCATTTTCCTGTCTGTTCCTCTCCAAAACTAACACACACTGACAGAGAGCTGGTGTTGTCTCACCCTCCATGTAACTAGATAATATGGAACTTGTCCTCTGTAGTGGAAATGCAGTCTGAGTGCTCAGTGACAGCAGATAAATACTACATAATCCCATTCAGTTATTTACATAGTGCCAAATCACAACAACAGTTGCATCAAGGTGCTTTATACTTTATACGCTTGAGTTCATTGTGAAACCTGGCCCCACCTTATCATGCGAATTCCTGCGGTCAGATGGTCCAGGATGTGAGTGGGCGTTAAGGCGTCTGGGAAGGGATCTCAAAACTGGATTATAGATGGCAGAGAGTTGGTGTCGTAAACCCCCGTCTCTGTTCAAAGATGGCCGCTCACATTGGACGTAGATGCTTCTTTCACTCCTCTTTCAAACCATCTGTCCTCTCTGTCCAAAATGTGAACAATGGCATCCTCGAAAGAGTGTCCTTTATCCTTAAGATGCAGATGGACTGCTGAGTCTTGTCCTGTGGAGGTGGCTCTTCTGTGTTGTGGCATGCGCTTGTGAAGTGGCTGTTTGGTCTCTCCAATGTAGAGGTCTGAGCATTCCTCGCTGCACTGTACAGCATACACCACATTGTTAAGTCTGTGTTTTGGCGTTTTGTCTTTCGGGTGAACCAGTTTTTGTCTGAGCGTGTTGCTGGGTCTGAAATACACTGGGATGTCGTGCTTGGGACTCTCCACCATTTGACCTTAGAACTGAATAAGCTTCTCGGATGAGAGGTGAAACGTCTTCAAGTAACTTAAAGAAGTCCAGAAGCTTTTCTTTGCAAGCTCCTTTGACTACGATGATCTGGATGACTGAGAACCTTCACAGACATCCTTTGAAATTCTTTTTAAAAGTCATTTTAAAGACCTTCCTTCAACGTCCCAGAGCATCTCAAGCTGTCACTGCATATTAGAAAGGATCTGTTTGTTTTAATGCAGATTGTTGAGTCTACAAAGGTTTAGCAGTCTTACCTCTAACATCAGTCCTATTTTTTAATTTAATTACATTTTGTTTATATAGCAGTATATTTACTGGCAAACAAATGTGGCTAATTTGTGGAATGTCGTGTGTTTTCTTTGCAGCATCCAGAGGACGTGGCACAGACCGAGGGTTCGCAGCAGCTCCACCTGCAGCCCAGCGATTCATTAGAGAAGCAGCAACCCAAGAGGTTACACGTCTCTAACATCCCTTTCCGCTTCCGGGACCCTGACCTCCGGCAAATGTTTGGGGTGAGATGAGACACAATGACACGCAATAATTTATGTGCCACTGTGCACTTAAAAGCAGTCACTGCTTTTAAAGAACATCAACAAATACAGTCAGGAAAAGATAAATCTATGTGTCTGTTTATGTATAGCTATAATTAAAAAACAGAAGTTAACCGTAGTCTACAGACTGAATTTTAATAGAAATTTACAATGCATTATTTACATTGGGTAAATATGAACATTTTCATGTGGCTTGTTGAATAATTTAAACACCCAGCTGCCTACCTCTGAATATTTGGTACGAGAGCGTTGCATCTATTTCCATTCCAAAGGCCACTGACAACAGAATAGGTACACTATAACCATCAGCATGCTCTTACACTGGAAACACACAAAGAAAACAATGTGCTTGCATTAGCATTAGCATTAGCATCACACACACCTGTCTCGTAGAATAGAATAGCATAGAATAGCTTTTTTATTGTCACTGTTACTAGAACAATGAAAGGCAGTTTTGGCATTTCTCCATGTGTGTGAAGTACACAATAGCATAAGTATTTACACATCTTAGTATTTCATATCAAGCAAAGAACATATACGTGCTGTTGCTACAAACTGGTTTCTATGAACGTTTAGAACACTGAGGACATCAGCATGAGCACACAGTCATACAAAAAACTAATCAAAGGCAACAGGTCATTAAAAACAGTCAGTGGCACGCTAACGCTTCATTGTGTTGTGTGTATTCAGTTACTACAGTCATGGAGTGTGTCCCTGCTGTGTTCCTGGCAAAGATGTTGTGAGTGGGCTACGATCATTTGTACTGCAGGTTTTTCCATCAGTTAAGCAAATTCTGATGATCCACTTTTTTGTTCGTAGATCTACTATAAAGTCCACCAGGGGGCGCCCTACTGTAAGGTCTTGGTTGAAGTGCACTCTCTGTATTGAGCTTTCCTTCCTGCTGTCTTCCCTCAGTTCACATGACACGTTTAGAAAATATCGCTCACTATTATCAATTATTAATATTTGTTCTCCTTGGATAAACTCCTGTGTGTGGCATCACGCTGACTGCCTCATCAAAAGTTGTGCCTTTTTCAAATAAAAAAGCGACGTCATGAGAAGTGAAACATGCGGTGTTCTAACATTGTAGCACGCAGCAGTAACAATGGTTGTGCATTGGGTATGTCTTTGGTGTTCTGGGTTTAACAATAAAAATAAATATTCTCTTATGTCCTCTGGTGCCAAATACAAAGTTCTCTCAAGCAATGGAATTACAACTGAGGTTTTTACTAAGAGTCAGGTCAATTCACAGACTATAGATTTACTGATATAAATCCACCATTACCATTAAATATCGTATGATTTCCCCTCTCTGACACATCTACTAACTTCCACATTTCTCTGGTGGAGTTCAATATCTGCTCAAAGTCGGTACTTTGTTTTAGCAGGAGGGACGACAGCCCACAGGCCTCGTCATGTACAAGGCTTTTGTGGGCTGATGAAGAGTTGATGAAAGGGTCCATCAGTTGATATAAATAATGGGATTCCTCAACTAGGGAATTTATCCTCATTAGGTGTATAAAGTGTGACATCTTCATTTTGTCTGCGTCTAAAAGAGTGTAATCTTGAAAAGAAGTGGCACTGTGAACTTTCTCCCACTCACTTAGTGAGGTCTCCAAGGCACTAAACACTTCAACATAATTAAGTAGTGACAGCATCTGATAGAGGCAAAGAAGGAATTGTGAGAAAGAAAGAAACACGAATGTGGAAGCCGAAGAGGGGGATTGGAAGAGACAGACAATTTGTTAGTTCCCACTACAATCAGTGATGCTCAGAGGTCATCCAGCCTCGTTAAGAGCAGGACAGGAAGCACAGCAACAACTGTTTCCAAGTGCCTCCTTCTTCTTCTGGAAGTAGGTTTCGCTGAAAAATTCTCTTCTACAAAATATAATGCAAAGTGTATGACATACAATTTTATACAAGTACTGGGAAGGTACAGATGTACAGCAGGAAAGTGTGATGCACCTTCTGGTACTAATGTAACCGTATATCTTAACAGCTATGTGAACTAAATTACAGATGATTCACAAATTGACGAGTCAGACTTTGCTGAGATCATTTCAGCTAATTTTACTCCTTTTTTGTCTTTGTGAAATGGAAACATTGTCAGTAATGCAGAAATACAACTTCCAAATAACTTGTTTTGCTACTTCAGAATGTCTGTTTTGATGAACGATGTTTTCTGCATTAAGGATGTAACGAGTTGTCAGGGAATCATCCCAGCACTGACAACAGACTCTCTTACACATGGTCACACCATTTCTTTATTTCTAGTGTCAATGTTTTAGCTTCAGGGGTTGTTGGTTATAAAGCAGTGTCACTGCAGTAGGAGTAACTCAGGTTTCACTTCAGTGGGTTCCTCCATTCACTTTAATGGAAATCACAAACAACTGGTTCAGTCTTTCATTACGGTCTTCTAGTCTAACACCAAAATGCAAACAAATACGATAGTTGGAGCATTACACCAAATGAAATTGCATCTGTGTAAAACCCGTTAGAGGAAAGTCATACGAGAACATTACACAGAGGCTTATAAACGAGTTCAAACAGAGGTGAGACAGACACAAGCTGAATCTCTGCATATGTGAATAACACAATACTAAAGAACAACACGCCTTCTTCTGGTTGTTGTGTATAGTTTCAGCAATATAGTCAGAGTCAAGGAGAGAAAACTTTGGTTTTAGAAAAGGATAAACTGGGTTCATTACCCTGGCTTATTTGAGTTGAATTCATAATTAGAAAAACACATTGAAGGGAAATTACCAGGCTGGGTTTTTTTAATGGTAGAATGATAATTGGCATTCACAGCGCCACTTTGTTTTTCAGTTCTCTCATTCTCAAGATGTGAGTGAAATCTGTATTCCAGGACTGCACCTCTATTGATTTCCTGCACTCAAAACTTACTACAAACATTTACCTACGCAGCTATTAGAAGGAAGCCGTCCTGTATTTACCACATGTCAGTATCTGTTGTTATTGGGCATCCAAGAATTTGTCATAATTTCAGATGCATGGAACCAAAAAGCATGCAGGCTGTGCAGCACTTGCAGGAGGATACTGTTCATTTACCCACATGTAGAATGAAACTTGACAAGCTGATGCAGGATTGCTGTTACCCCCTGAGCCTCAGCTGTGTTTAATTAATAAGCAGGCACTTAGTGAGCCAGCCGCAAGAGGGTCCTTACTGTCACGTTTCCCAGGGGTAGGGGTCCTAAATGAGTCATTAGATACTCAGCAGACACACACAGGCTTTTTATACACACAAACACTTATGATCTGCATTACCAGTGTGTGTCTGCGGTTGCAGTGAGCACTGGGGGCTGGGTTTTGTGCTAATGGAGTTTTAATGACATCTACTCCTGTCTAATCACCTGTTCTGAAGGCTTTCAACATCCAGGTAGCACAGAGCCCCCGGCAAGGGAATTCTTTTTAATGCCTCTTGTTCATGGCTACAGTCTCATTTGCCTATCCAATTATTCCATAAAGCTCCTCTCAAACCGGCTCTGCCTCTGAGGAAACGTGGTGTGATTATAATCTGCAAATCTGCTAATTCCCATCAACATATCAGTGTAGCAGTGGAGTCATTTGATCTGAGTGGGTAGTTAGAAAGCCTGGGCTTTACTATTGCTGGGCCTAACAGTGGAGAGAGTGTGTTTATGTTGATTAAGACAATTAGAGTGATTAGAAAGAAGGGGGCACTGATATACACCATTTCATTTACTACAGGGACTTGACTCATCAGATATGTTACATTTTTGGTGCCATACACAGGATGTTCTTAGCATTTTTTTGGGGGGCTAAAGAGCTTACAGATAAAAGGTTTTCTAAATTAGTTTCCACTGATGCTGTTCACAATATTTCAGAGTTAAGAATAATGCCAAGAATAATGTTGGGTGTAATGCGTTACTAAGTAACGTGTTACTGTAGTTAAATTACTTTTCCACTGAAAAAGTAGAGTAACTAATTACTGTTCATTTTTAGATATTTTAATTACAGTTACTTACAATGTACTTGCGTTACATTTTAAAATAATAAACTCGCTGAATATCATTATTTAATTTCAATAATTTATCTTCTAAATCAGGGGTCGGCAACCCTAGGCACGCGAAGGGTTAACTGGCCAGATGCTGGCCAGATGCTGGCCAGTGTATAAAAATAACTCAGTTGTTTGGTGGTGGCTGTGGCGGAGCTTCCACAGATTCAGTAACATTAGCAAGTGGTGGAGGCCAGTGGGTGGATGAGAGAAAGAGGAGGCAAGAGGGGAGGCAAGAGGAGAGACCCGAGGCAGCTACCGGTCCGAGTGTCAGGTGAACTGAACTTCAGGTAAGAAGTTATGACCTGCAGTCTATCTGGGCCAGATATAAAGTTTAGGTGTAGTTTTATTTTTGTTGTGCTGACTATTTACAGTCAGTTACAATAACTCGTACTGCGTGCTAGCTAGCATGAACTTTATTTTATTCATAAGTTAGTAGAGTTGCCAACCGTCCCCTAAAAAACGGAATGGTCTCGTAATCAGAGAAAATATTACTCGTTTCGTATTGAGGTGAAATGGAACAGTTTGTCCCAGACTTCAGCTACAACGAAAAAGACACAAAGCTGGATTTATTCTGTGTTTGCTGCACAGCTGTTCTTCTCCTCTCATTCTCTCCCCTCCCTCTCCTGTTTCTCCTTCAATCATGAAACTGATCAATGATCAGCTGATCGGCTCTCTTGTTTGTTTATCGCCCACTTTGCGCCAGAAAGAGGAAACCAGCGGATGTCGCGCTAAACAACAGCAGCACGTTTAAGCTTGATCAGCTGTTGTTAGACTTTATTTAATATTAGTTTCTAGTATCAGCTGATGTTTGCTGGAGCCACAGCTGTAAAGCTGCTGGTCATGATGTCGGTTTGGATATGTGGTGAGAGGGAAACATAAAGATGAAACCAGGAGATGTCCTTACTGGATCATCAGAGCTGAACAG